TTCCTGTCCGTGAGCTTGAGTAAAGACAGATCTGAGCAGCAATGTAAGAAGGCTTTGGCGCGAAACGACGAAATTCCCGGCAAGGATAATCGAAAACGAAGTGTTATCGGTGGCGTGAGGAGACGCGGGACCATGAACACAAGGAAGCATCTCTGGGCTGGTGCTGTAGCTGCCATGGTTTCAAAGTATACATATTATTGAATCAGAGCGCATATAACTTGTTTGATGAAATGCCTGAACCAAAACCATGATTTTTTGTATTGGTATTAATATTACACTTTTTGTTGTTGATGATGGCAGAACATTCTTAGCTCCACTTGAGAGACTAAAGCTTGAATATACAGTTCGTGGTGAACAGAGGAACTTGTTGGTGGTTGCTAAGTCAATTGCAACTACACAGGGCTTGACTGGATTCTGGAAAGGTAATTTGCTCAATGTTCTTCGAACTGCTCCTTTCAAAGCCGTCAATTTTTGTGCCTATGATACCTATAGAAAGCAATTGCTTAAAATCGCTGGGAATCAAGAAGCAACCAACTTTGAAAGATTCGTTGCTGGTGCCGCTGCTGGGATTACTGCTACTGTGCTCTGCTTGCCACTCGACACTGTATGTTTTTGATTCCTTAAACCATTTTAGATCAAATATGACAAAGTTCTCTGCTTTAGAGTGACATAAGTCTAGTGTTAGTGTTCGACAGGACAATTATGAGCATGTGTAACCAATTTGACTGAAATGTGTTCTTCTACTGGCACAGATACGAACCAAACTAGTGGCTCGGGGTGGAGAAGCCTTGGGGGGAATCGGAGGAGCTTTTCGGTATATGATCCAAACAGAAGGGTTGTTCTCCCTCTACAAGGGTCTAGTGCCGTCCATAGCAAGCATGGCTCTGTCCGGTGCAGTTTTCTATGGCGTTTACGACATCCTTAAGTCATCGTTTCTGCATACACCAGAAGGCCGGAAAAGACTGATAGACATGAAGCAGCAGGGACAAGAACTCAATGCTCTAGACAGGCTCGAGTTAGGACCCATCAGAACTCTCATGTACGGTGCTATAGCAGGTGCTTGTACTGAAGTAGCCACTTATCCTTTCGAAGTAGTGAGACGACAGCTTCAGATGCAGATGGGTAAAAACAAGCTCAATGCTTTAGCTATGGGATTCAATATCATTGAAAGAGGAGGGATCCCAGCTTTATACGCTGGACTTTTACCTAGCTTGCTCCAGGTTTGCATAATACTTGTTTCATTACTAAACTCAACTTGTGTATCTACTGTTTCCAAAAGCTTGATATGTTCTGTTTCACATCTCCAGGTATTGCCTTCGGCTTCAATAAGCTACTTTGTCTACGAGTGTATGAAGATAGTACTTAAAGTAGAATAACAAGATTATGATATTGGAAGAGTACTAGAGCTTAAAGAATCATCCATTACACAATGCATTGCGTGATGAATCAATCTAAAACACAATGCTTAATTTAAACTTCATCTTCGTGGAGAAGCATATTGGGAATTCCTTTGCTAACCGAAAACTTCCTACCGGTTTCTGGGCAGACGAGTGAGCCTTCCTCAAGGTGAAGCTCGAGCAACGCGTGGTGGAATTTCCTTAGGAATGTTTCGTCAGATTCCAGCGTCGTCGTGTCTGGTGCGTTATCGGGAAGTTCGGTGTATTCCATAGAACGTGCACCATCCACTAGAGCCTTCCAATCGATTTTGGCAAACATGTACCTGAGAAAATCCGGGTTGAAATCAACCTCTTTTACTGTTACCTTCTCCGCTTCGATTCGCAGAGGAAACTTGTTGACCACTCCTTTAATGTTGCAAGACAACATATTGTGCACTATCAACCTCATCTTTTCTCCTTCTCTCTCTCTGCATCGAGCAAGAGACGCGCGACCTGACGAAAAAATGTCTTGGTAGCTGACGATGTACCCTAATGGACTTGCGAGCTTTTTATGAGTATTATGATTCAGTTTTTCTAAATGGGCCTTTTCCATGTAAGGCCCATAACTAGATACGAGAAGATCAGTAAAGTCTCCAAGTCTATGGTTGACAGTCAAAAGTCAACCGTTGACTATTTATGTGGCCAAGCAAAAGCATGGTTTTCGTTTTATTCTAGGATTATAAATTAATCACAAATTTACAAAATATGTGATAACAACAAAAAGAAATAAATTTGCATAAGATTAAACACAAACAGACAAAAGAGTTCAAATAATCGAAATGATAGAAAATATTGGAAAATTTCATGGAAAAAGTTTGTTGTGTATATCAATTTAAGAAAGACAAACTTTTTTTTTTTTTTTTAATATACTAATATATATTTATGAGTTAATTGCAAAATAGGCATTTGTCTTGGTTATATATTTACTTTAAGGCACTTCTTACATAACATTCAAAAACAGGTACTCTTCCCTGGTGAAAAGTCATCTATATCCTCCAGTCATTGGCATCATCTTCTCCAAAGAATTGTTGAATCACAGAAAACTCCCACGAAAAATATCCCAAATCCTACAACTTGCACTTTCCTATTCTTCTTTTTCTTCCTTTATCTTTCCAAGAAACCAAAGCATAGACACATCAACTTGAAAGAGAGAAAGAGTTTGATTTGATTAAAACTAAAATTCAATAAAATCTATAATTTTTTTTGCTTAGGTTCTCTATGTACTATCTTAGGGTTTAGTATTGTATAATTAAAAACGATTTTAAGTTTGCTTGAAAAATAATGAAGAAATTGATTTGGTCAGATTTTGCAACCATGCTCGATGAAGAAGAAGAGGAAAAGAAGAAAGGGGAAGAAGAAGAGGAGAAGAAGATAGGGGCAAAATTGTCTCAATTGAAGTAATAAGTCGACACTATTGTATTCTTACTGTAAAACATACCTATTTGAAAGAACTTTATTTAAAATGCCTATTTTGAATATAAGCTCTATATTTATTATTAAAGCAATATCAAAAACAATACCTTAGTTTGCTTTCCAAAATTTTAAGTTGGACTAAGATGTCAGTAAATTACCAAAAAATTAATTGTATGCATTTGTGTTAAGCAAGTTACCAAAGTCAAATAGTTAATAACTTAATAACGTTAGATTTGGGTGTGAATAAAAAAAACCAAACCAGAATTATTAAATTTGATTTCAGTGGATATAAATTTCTCTCAAGAAAACGACATTAACGAAGGAGAGCCAAAGCTTCGTCGTTGATCATTCCTCCGTAGTTGCGGAATTGAACCCAACTTAGGGTTTGTTTACTTCTCATTTCTCTCTTCAATTTCGTCTCTTGCTTCCATTTCTCAACTCAAAATCGTAAATTTCGCGGATTTTTTTGTTCAATTCAGAATCAAATGCCCAAGATCTGCTGCTCTCGTTCCGCTACACAAGTAAAAATCCAAAGTTTTTTTCATTTCCTCAGTGTTTTCTGTAAAGTTTTGTGATCTTTGGTAATGTTTTAAGGTTGTGGTAGCACAAAAATCAAACTCGGGTAAAGGAAGAAACGGTGAAGGAGGAATCAAGTATGGATTTAGTTTGATAAAAGGGAAATCTAACCATTCAATGGAGGATTATCATGTTGCTAAGTTTACCAATTTCAATGGCAATGAATTGGGGCTTTTTGCAATCTTTGATGGTCATAAAGGTGATCATGTTGCTGCTTATCTGCAGAAACATCTCTTCTCTAATATCCTTAAAGATGTAAGCTTTATTAAAGATTGTTGCTTTTTTGTGTGTGTGTTATGTATGTTTAGTATGTGTGATGATAGTTTGATGTTTACTTCTAGGGAGAGTTCTTGGTTGATCCTCGAAGAGCAATTGCGAAAGCTTATGAGAATACAGATCAAAAGATTTTAGCAGATAATAGAACGGATTTAGAGAGTGGTGGTTCGACTGCTGTGACTGCGATTTTGATCAATGGGAAAGCTTTGTGGATAGCTAATGTTGGTGATTCACGAGCTATTGTTTCTAGTCGAGGTAAAGCAAAACAGATGAGTGTTGATCATGATCCTGATGATGATACTGAGAGGAGTATGATTGAGAGTAAAGGTGGATTTGTGACCAACAGACCAGGTTAAGAGCAGCTTTTAGTGATCTTTCATTATATAAGGTTATTAGATATAAGGATGATTCTGATGTTTGTGAATTGAACAGGTGATGTTCCTCGAGTGAACGGTTTGTTAGCGGTCTCTCGTGTCTTTGGAGATAAAAACCTTAAAGCATATTTGAACTCAGAGCCTGAGATTAAGGACGTAACCATTGATAGTCACACAGATTTTCTTATTCTGGCTAGTGACGGTATTTCGAAGGTAAAGTTGCGAATTGTAGTCTGGATTTGAGTAAAGGATAAATGGTGTTTATTGAAGTGAGTTTTTGGTTGAACAGGTGATGTCAAACCAAGAAGCAGTTGATGTAGCTAAGAAGTTGAAAGATCCAAAGGAAGCGGCGAGGCAAGTAGTTGCTGAAGCATTGAAAAGAAACAGCAAGGATGACATATCTTGCATTGTTGTCCGGTTTAGATGATAACCAAGAAGACTCAGCTTATATTGGATTTGGAGCTTCCTTTGCTTCACCATGATTCTTTTGGGGTCCGGTTTAGTTTGATTCTGGGTCTTGGTTACTTGTGCATTTTTAAGAACATGAGTTTGAATAGGACTATTATATATTACTAGTTTGACAAACCAGATATTTTATCATATAAATTACATGAAAAGAATAGTCGATTTAAAATGGTTTCAATTTGTTCTTGGAATCGTGGATAATTAATCATCTACTCATTAATCAATGTTAACAAGAAAATAAACAATCATTCAGTCAACTGCATTCATATCAGACAGACTCATTATTTTTCTGGGCTTTATTGAAAAGGCCCATTATAGCCCATAAAACGTTAGACCTAAAGGGAAATTAGGGTTTCTGAAGCTGGAGGCGGACACTATATATACCAATGCTCTTCTCTGTTAACATAATCGTGTTCTTGATGGTTCTCAAAGCCGAATCGTTTTTCTTTCATATTTGTTCTCGTTTAATCATTGATGATAGATTAAGAAAATTAGGGTTTTTTATTTTTGGTTTTTGATAAAGAGAAAGATGCCTCTTCTTTCAGCAGCAAGATTATTCTTGTTAGCTTTGTTCTGGAGGCACAGATCAATCGCCATTATGAGAGGGATTTTTTTATAATTTGCAGAGTTGTTCTTCCTTCTTTGCTGATTATCCCTCTTTGTGGTACATAATCTCTTAGTTTTTCTTCGTATTAACATAATAGTGTTGGAGTGAGGATTTTGATGAAAGAACATCATGGCGGTTGGCGACTGAATAAGAGGATTTAAACGTTGCACTACGTGACATTGAAACTGTCTTTCAACATTCCAATATTTCAACTTTCGAATACCCAATATTTGGTTTGTTCAAAGACATTTTCGATGTCTAGCAGTGCCAATGTTTAAAATCAACTGATAATTTTGGAATTAATGTGTATAAAGATTCAAACTTTTATTTTGGTCATCTATACTTTGGTATCCAAAGTTAGGACTGATTCATAATTTCATACAGATGATTTGTTTGACTCTGATTGTATTCTCTTTGCCTAATTGATGATTTCATTGTGATATGCACTGAATGATTCAAACTTTATCTTGTGGACAACAAATTAAACTTAAAACTGAGCAACGAAGTGGTAATGTGAATATGATATATATGTTATTAATCCTTGGAAATTACTTATGAGAGGATCTTCAAAACGATGACTAAGAATCAAACATTAGAGACAGGAATCTGTGGTTTACTAGTCTCTAGAAGAAAAGATTTGAGAAGTTTGATAAACTTTTTAGGTTTCTCGAAGTTAAAGATATGACCAGTTCTCTTGATGATAACGAGTTTCCCATTATCTCCTACATGCTTCTCAAGTCTCTTGCCCATCTCCAATGGGAACACTTGATCATGCTCTCCCCATATTATCAATGTTGGCTGCGTTAATTCCATTAATTAAAATTAGGACTCACTAATTACTTTTATAAGAGTGAATACATATGACAAATTTTGGAGGAAGAAGATTGTTTGATACCTGTTTGAGCTTTGGAATCTCTGAGATTATTCTGTCTTTTGGTATGGCTTTAATCAGTTCTCTCTTCTCTTCCATATTATCTCTTGTCAAAGCCTGTGTAGTTTCACATTGTACCAAGTTAAATACATTGTAAAGAACACCAAATATAATTCTTATTGGCACGAATATAATGTTTACTCGTTTTTTACCGTGTCTTAGTATTCAACAAAGAACTACCGAACGAATTTTATTTACTATATAAGATCTGTTAGTGGAATTATCAATTATGTTGATAGATCTAATGAACCCATTAACTCAAAATGTGACAAATTTTACTTTAAACTCCAAGTTGACAATTTAAGTACATTATCTTCAAACAGATAGAATCTTTAAAAGTTCAAATCTTACTATTTCTAAACTATATTCGCACTTACTAGATTTTCAACATTTAAATCACTTTTTCGTATAGTATATGTTCTTAAGACATGTAGACACGTGTCGTAATATGATTTGGTTGAAGAAGTAAAAAAAGAAGAAAGTAGCTCACATGTTCGATGAAATCATGGAGAAGACAAGTAGGAACCAGTCTTGCCAACGCCGGTTTGTAAAATATGTAACCCATAAGTTCCCGGAGCTTTTTCACAGACTCCGGCACAAGAATCTTCGAAGCTTCATCAAGATCCGACACCTTGAAAACACCGGCTTTCATATCTTTCTCCTCCACGCACACGGCGGCGCAGCATATCACCACCTTCTCCACCGCGTCTGCGTACATCGACGCCATTCGATAACCAACGAATCCGCCGTAGCTAAGACCGACGAGGCTAAACTTTTTGACGGATTGGGCTTCTAAGGCCCGCATGAGTGTTTGGGCTTGGAAAATATCGGATCTTTCGGGTCGGGTCGTGGAAGATCCGCCGAAGAAGACTAGGTCGGGGATGTAGAGGTTGAAATAACGTGAGAGACGGCGAGCTACGTCGTACCATTGCCAGATGGCAGTAGCTCCGAGGCCGTGGATGAGGAGGAGATTAGGTTTGGGTTTGGATTCGGGTTTGGTTTTGGATACCCAAAAGTTGACTACGGTTCCATCTTTCAAGTCGATGGTTACGGGTCGTAGACCGGATCTTTTGAACCCGGATTTGTAAGTTCGTTCTATTGCTTCAGACAAGCTAAAGCAACCTGTCATTACAAAAGAATAAAAATATGAGGAGGATACAAAGAAAAGAAAAAGATTTTGAGTTGAAAGATATTGTGTTGTGTTGTGTTTGGTTCTCTGGTATTGGTTGGGGGATTTATTACGAATGAGCACATTTTTATTATTAATTAACAATAAATTTGAAGGAGACTTAAATTGAAATGTGGTTATAAGTTATAACAGTGTAGTCGCATCACATGTAAAATAATTAATAAATTTTCGAATTTCTTATTTGTGTTAAGAGAAAATAAAACGTTTTAATCGTTCCTCGTAAATTGTTTTTTTTTTCTTCTTATAATTTTGTTACATAATTATATTAATGTATCTATTTGTATTTTGGTCTCATGTAAACTCTATTTATAAGTCAAAAGATTGCATTGCATGTGTACACATTATTCTAGTAAGAGAAAAAAGGTTTTCTACAAGAGCCTGGATTATTTAATTTTTTTGGGCAAAGAGTCTGGATTATTTAATTTTTCGAAATTGAGAAAAAACGAAATTGAATGAAGTTGTGTGCAAAATGTGTGTTATGTGACCTAAAGTATAGGCTTTTTTATTTGGCAGCACATACAATTGTTATTATTTGTGATAAAAAGTAGATGGCACGAATGTTACAAAAATCTTTGTATCTGAGATCGAGAGGCATGTGGTTAGTCTTTAATGTGAACATAAGGTTGCGACAGTGCGTAGGTTGGGAAATTAAATTCGACTATCTAACTTAATTTTCAAGTTTTTCTTAAAAAGAAAAGTATATTAGACTGAGACACAGATATTTTGTTGAAGACCAAAAATTATATAGACGACTTAGAAAGCTTTGTCAATTTTGGTTATAAGCGTCTTTTCTTTGTCAAAGTTTGGAGAGTCTTGAATCCGCCAATACTCTAGAAGAAGAAGAAAAAAAAATCATTTTTCACAGAATTATTTGAAATAAAAAAACGTTCATTTCTTCAGCTTAAGCGTATGTTTATATCTATGGCTAACCTAATTTTAATTAGAGTTTAGGACACGTTACGAGGACAATCAATTGAAGACAAAGTGGTAGATATGTTGGTAGCTTACTTATTACTACAATATTTAAGATGTACTTTGCATGTATCAGGTTATTACTGGCGTGGCTTCATGTATGTACTTATATACTCGTAATATATATTTTGGATTAAATGATGCTATAGTTTTACAAAGTTCGATAACTAATTAGTGCATGATGATCAAAATGGTGTGGAACAGTTGTATATAAAACTGAAATGATAGATGAACCAAAGCACAAAGCCGAGAGTTAAAATACACAGTAGACGACAAAAAACAAATACACAGTATTATTGTAAACTAGGAGTTAACAAGAAGACTAATTGAGTTATGTAAACTATTAAACCTGATAAACACGATCAATGATTTACCTTCATCATATCGCCTCAAATTACATTTTCTAACCGTCTGTCTTATTACCATTACCATCGCCTGAAGTCCACGTAGAAAGATTGTATTTAAGCATCTCTATGATATACATGCTCTCTTCGCATATATTCTTGTCAAGGCCATCGAGTTCAGTGATTGCTTCATCGTAAGCTTTCTTAACCAATTTACATGCGCTGTATAAATTCACATATAAAATTACTATTAGTTAACTGTAAGAAACTAAGATATTCAAAAAACTGTAAAAAACTGTTCATTAAAATTAATTGGCAATGAAAATATAAATTAGTTATTATATATACAAAGTTTTTGATAGATTTTGAAACGCCGCACTTATTTTATTTATAAGCAAATGTGATATTACCTTTCAATAGATTTATGGATCTCATAATTGAATATCGAGAAATTTAAAGCCAATCCAAGTCTAACCATATTGGTGGGTGCTAAACTATTCTCTGCCATTTCCATTGCAACCTACAAAATATATGCCTTTTTCATGTTTTTCCATGCTTTTTCCAAACTAATATTTCGAAGAAAATAGGGGAAAATAAAATATTAAAGTTGAGGGTAAACATGATTGAAAGAAGACCTTATATGCATCTAGAGAATTATCTGCATTTTCTTTACGTTCAGCATCAGAACCAAACTCTGCCATATATCGAAAATAATCTCCTTTCCTACACATACCAAGAAACAATATAACAAAATGCTAATTAAAAAAAAAAAAAAAAAAGAGTTGATCATGATTATGATAACGGAATATGACTTACACTCTGTTAAAAAGGACAATTGATTCGACATTAGTAGTAGTTGATGGTATGAGATGAGAATCAATGAGAGACAAAAATGTCATTACAAACATTGAAAAACTCATATTTAACCATTTCTTGTTGTCCTTTTATCAGTTTCACATTTTGGTCGTTTCCTTTCGAGTCTTCCATTTTTCAATGGATGATATTACTCTCAATGAAACTCTCTTAGCCTCCATGACATTCTTGTATCCAGTTGTTAGTAGGTCTCTTTCCTCTTCACTTAGCTCTATATCAAGCTCACATACTTTTCTCATCGATTTCATCACATCTGCCACAACAACCGCTTAGTTACTTCTTATAAGGTTATAGAAAGATGGATAAAGTTGCTACACTGATTTCTTCGTATACAAGAGTAATTTTGGGCATTTCTAAGACCCTGATAATAGATATCAAATGAAATGATTTGATATTTGAAGAGAGACATAACACATCTTCTGTTATCATATGATTCGAGTAACCATAAGTTTGTTTAAAACACACAAACTGGATCGGTGACAACATGAAAAAACATAAACCAATATGATAATTAACCTCCTAGTTTAAATCAAATCAACTATCTCTATGAAAAGGGCAAATATGTGAGAATATGTGATACCATCATATCTTCCAGCTTGGCAACCGAGCTTAGCCAAGTAAATCAGCTTTTCTCTCTCATTCTCCATAACTTTGATCTCTAAGTTCTCTCG